ATTATCACAGTAGAACTCTTCTACTATTTCCCTTGCATAATTCACACCCGTGGCAGGTTCCCACATGTTCTTGTCTTGTGAACACCCTTACCATTTAACAAAATACCATAGTTCGTGTACCTCCTAGTAGTGACCACATAGCTTCTTTCGCTAAGAGCATATTTCACTTATGATTTTCTCTATTTCTCTTTATAAGTTACCTTCAATATCTAATGGTTTTCGGTGAGGTTGTTGTCAGTTTGTGCGTACTGACTCTCAGTAAGTTTCTAAGTGAGATACAGGGAATACTGGGTGTATGTTCTATCAATCCGACCTGTTGAGCATGCAGGCACAGTTTTCTCGCTTATTTAATATCACAAATGGCCAACATAATCTTACGCTGAGTTTCTTTTAATTCTGATATGTACGAATGTTCTTTGCATTTAATAATACTTTATCATCAATTTTGAAGACAGGTTGTTGCGTGGCCTTTTTATCATAGTATTTGGCCATTATTAGGAATACCCAGATTTGATACCTAGCAGTTATCCTAAGTAAGGTAACCTCACCCAGAATCAGAATCCCTAGTCTGCAACATTCCCCTCTGGCCCCCTTACTGGGCCCATATATTATTATACATATCAATTTCAGTTGCAGCCTGGGACTATAATACTACTGAATTGAAGGTGTCAGAATAACACAGTATATGTCTCTGCCGTCTGATTGACAGAATCCTGTTCACAGCTTATCTGTGAGGGAACCTTGAGCTAGGTCTGAGATGTTGAATAGAGTAAATCTGTCAACTACTTAGAGGGTTACCAGATGTCAAAGATGTAATATCTTTGGCATGGAGCTTAGGTAAGGGGACATTTTTGCACAAAGAGATGGTATCGAATGGGAAAGGATCTCAACAAGAAACCAATACATTCACATCCATCCTATAGTATCCAGAAGAGTCTGGAACTCTGAGAAATACTACCATAGAAGCCAATGGACTTCACAGAGTATTGCAACTAGGTTTTGGAATATGTTATAGTTATGGGGATAACTTCCAATACTACAACAGTGATTGAAACCCAGTTACCCAGAGCAACTAAGAGTTACCAACTGGGGGAATAATGGTAAATCTGGTGGAATAGCTTTCTGCGAATTAGTAAAAAGTCCTCCGGAAGACATCTGTCAGTTGAGTAAGGAGTTATAAATATTTAAAGTCAGGCGACCTAAAAAGGTTGCGATTAAGACTACCTTCACAGATGCAACCTCAGATGAAACTGATCATTTTATCAATGATGGAGAAAATTGGGGCCGGCTCAGTTCAACTTAAAAAACTAGGCTACAAGTCTAAAAATGCTAATTATCAGATAACTACTAGTGGGAACAGTATGGTTCTGAGTTAGTTAAATTGTGATCGCCAAAGAGGATGTGGTGATTTTCAGGGTCTGCAGGTGTTCACACCTTTAATAATACCTAATATTGCGAGTTATAATCAGAGAGGTATGTCATTGTATAATAAATAGATGCAGTCAGTGAACACTCAGATACAGAATATAAATATTGTAGTACCTCTTAAGCTTTAGACATCATCAAGCAACGGAGAAGAGACTTTAACAATATATTCTTGTTTTTACTATTCTATTTTACTTTACCAAATTGACTTCACTCTTGGTAGTCATAAACAAAACCAGTAAATTCGAGCCTTCCTAGAAAATCTCGGTCTACAAAAATGAATCTTGCTTGATGAAGACAATCCTGAAGTCTATTAGATTGTGTCCGCCTAACACTATATTGTTAGATCTTTTTATTACCAAGATACTCTACGTATCTACCTACATTTTCCTACTGCACGACACAACCCGGACACCAACTGTCCTGCCTCATATTGGACTCAAACGGAAATTTCCCAAAATGCGAGCTTTCTACATCACATACGAGAAAAAGAAGCTTGTAAACAAGCAAATGAGATGTCACAACCTCATAAGCATATTACTCCAGGGGATATATTAGATACCTCTAGAGATCACCACTCAATAACTCTTAGTCGTTCGTCCTCTCCCTCTGGCTCTCTGAAAATCCTTCGGAGAACCTGCAGGTAAACCCTTTATTGCCCCACTATCTACAAGGGCTTTCTCTCTGATTTCAGGATCCTCCACACTACATTCAATTACCTATGCAGTAAATCTCGCAGGACATACTGCTAGGATTGGAAGAATCATAGGTCAAATACGGCAGGATATTTTAACCAGTATCTATAGTACCAATATTGCTTTCGAAACTCTGTCAGCTGACTGACAGGCCAACAAGTGACAGCTGATAGGAGTCCAGCAAAAATTGCTGGAAGGTCAAGACATATATGATGATGAAATATCCATAATGTTACATCATTATCCTGTGGTGGAAGTAAACGTCCAAGAGATACTAGAAAGGATTAACTGCGAAATAGGTGCTGAATTGGTTGCACAAGATGCTTGACAAGAGCATTATGAGGAGGTAACCACCAAACTACTGCAATGAGAAGCTCTCGAGTAAGATGTCACTCACGAACAAGCTTTTCAGGTGTTTAGAGCGCAACAAACCCAACAGAATCAAGCAACATGAAACTTGATATCTAATATAGTCTCAAGATCAGAAAGAGAGGCAGATTGCTATGGTGACTTCACCGTATCATTCAAAGTAATCAGACCCATATATCCCATACCTTATCCCTCATGCTTGAAAAACTTAAAGCAATGGATAGTGGACAACCAAGCTGTCAGTATGCTATGTTGGAGTCAGTTCCAGAAGAATGAGATATATAACACAGAAAGGGAGGAACCGGAGAAAGTCAGTACCTAAAATAAGGGAAAGCAGAGAGAAGGACAACCCCCAACGTCCATAATGCTAGGCGGTAACTTGGATGATGGAAGTGATGATAGGGATGATGATGGAAATGGAGGAAAGTATGGAGTAGGACGAGGCAGATTTTTAACAGGTATTAATCCCTGAACAACATAGAACAGCCGATATGCTTGTAGAAGTATTGGCCCATACTATTAAGGGACTGGCAGACCTGTCACCATTTTTCAAATCAAAGACCAGTCACTACGTCCACCCTTGGTTAATTTAATATGTGGATTATTTTGAATGAAATCCTAGGATCTGGGATGATGATAGTGAATGCATTATCTATATCCTGAGGGGAATAAAAGGGGATCAGGTCAGTCCGATAGTAGTATAGTATCGGTGTGTAATGGATGGCCTCCATGGAGAGGAACAAGACCCGGAACTGTGTTTATAGACATGCTTTGAACATGAATTTACCAGTGAGTATACCCCCCTCAAAGAAAGATGTAAAGCCATACGAGACATAGAATTAGTCAAGTAGAAAAATGATATGAAGATGTTTATGGGAAAAATGCATAATCTGAATCTCCACGCTCAACTGACCGGACCAGCCAGGTGTATGGCATGCAATAGAAAGTTGCCCTCCAAGATTAGATCACGACTTTCCCTGAATAAATACAATACCAACAGAGAATGGGAAAAGGCAGTAGTGGAAGCAGGAAGCTGATGAGGAGGAAGAGCAGGAATGGGACCACCTAGACCGTAATAAGTCAGAACTCGTAAAAGATTTCTCACACAAAAACCTGTAGACAAAAATCAACTAAAGGTAAAAGGAGAAAAACTCTTTATAATAGGAGACAGTCTCTCCAAAATGAGGAAGTAGGAACTGGAGCCTGAGAAACCGGCAAAGAGATCTACTGGGACTATGAAGTTGATACATACAAACTTCAAAATGGTCCACGACCGAATCCTCCAGTCAACAATTCATGAAAGAAAGCAAAAAGGCAATTGCACTTATTGTAAATAGAAAAACCATGAGGACAAAACCTGTTGGAGAAAAATTCAGGTATTTAGAACAAGGGCAGATGACTACCCATTCAAGACACTAAGGTCCAGAACAGCGACTATGGTCTACCGTCCCAGAAAGATCTCTACCGCCCAAGTTCCATGATACAATAAGCTCTGAAAACTAGGCGAAGACAAAGAAATGACTTAGAATATTTCATTGGTACTGACAACGATGGTGTTCAGATAGTCTTGAAGAGACATAATCTCTAGAAGTTGAAATCAATGGTAAAAGGAGATGTTGAAGTGAAGGAATCAATCTTACAATTATGACTGGAGTGGGAGTACACGTATCATTCTTGCAGTAAGATCAAGGGGATCAGTAAAGAGCAATGTCCACAATGGCGGCGCCTGTGTGCTTCGCAAAGGAGTATTGTAATCTTGTTCCTAATGACCTGGCACATGCCCACTGAGGGTGTCACCATGACCAGGTTGATAAATTTACATCATGATAGCTGGGGTACCGGGTCGGGACTCGTCTGACCTAGTGAAAGATCTCTCTTTACTTGCACTTGTTCTGTGGTGATTCTGCACTTTAGAGATTGCTCGAAAGGATCCTTGCACTGTGTTTATTTGTACATACTGCACACACTCATGGTACAGTACTCGAGTACGGCTCCTAATCTATTACAATCCATGTATCGTGTCGGTCTAAGAATTCCATCGTAGTCATTCTGGTAGACTGCAGGCATATGTGCACTAAAGCCGGCTCAGACAACAATGGGACCAGTCTTCTAGAGAAACTTTTTGCGCAGTAACCGGTGAGTATCCGGGCCTTTTCAATGTTGAAGAACAGGACCAGATACTAAGTTAGTATGCGACACTAGTATTCGCCCACTAAGGATGTCTAGCAACTCAGATACCGGGGTCACTCACCACTGCACCTACACCACTGCTAAAGTGGCTGGCATCCAATGCGAACAAGACCAGCCCCTTAGCTTGAACCGACGGACGGAACCTACTTGTGATGTCCACGATAGACCACCTCATAATATGCCCAAAGAGAAAGAGAAAATGATATTGGTAACGCCGCCTATCCGAGCAATCCGGTTTAAACCCTCGGTCTCTAAGCCAATTTCTGGCCGGGTGTATCACCACCGGAAAAAACACTGCCAACTATTTCCCATTGCCAAAACTCTATATAAAACCCAGCAATTTGAAGGAAAAGTGATAATAATAACACGAATATTCTACCGGCTCACCAACACCCCCTCTAACCCATCAAATACAGCCTTATACCACCTCCCCATACTCTCCCTGTCAACCTTCCCCTCAGCCCTCGCAGAATCCCTCATCCGAACCGCCTCGGAAGCAAACTTTTCCAACCCCTCCTTATCCATCTCCATCGGCCCGATCTCGCTCTCCAGCGCTTCTAGGCGCGCCCGCTTCTTCGTCAGCGCCAGGTCCGCTTCTGCGAGTTCCTTCTGAAGCCTGGATAGTTCGGCCTCATCGGCGGAGAGGAGGGTCAGTGTGTCTGATAGTGGGAGTTTGGGCAGTGAGGAGGAGGAAGGAGAGGTGGGGGAGTTTTGTTCCCTCTCTAGTTTCGCTATCTCGGCTTCCACCTCTGTCGTCTGTGATGGGAGGGTGGTGGCTTTGGAAATGTAGTCCAGTACCGTCTTGTGATCTGCCACTCTTATTAGCCAACCGCAAAACAGAAGAGATGAGGCGAGGCGAGATGAAAAACCATCAGCAAGCCTCCGACTCAACCCCTCCAACTCCGCCAATATACCCTCCACCTCCCGCTTGCTCCTTCGTAACTCGGCCTTCGCTGTTACAAGCCCTGCCTCCAACTCCTCATTTTCACCCGCCTCCCCCACCAACGGCGAATCTTCGGTGATCGCCCGCAGGAATTTCTCCTTGGTGACCTGCTCTAGGTAGCTAAAGCGCAGTTTCGAGAAGAGCTCTTTGTAGTGGCTCAGGTCCGCTTGCAAGGCCACGGGCATGGGCGTCGCGACGGAGAGCGAGTCCGAGACGTCAGAGGAGCGCGTCGCATCTGGTGGGAATGCGGCGGTTATGGATTCACTCAGTTGTAGAATACGCAGGCCGTGGGTGTGGATTGAGAGGAGGGTTGTTAGGAGGGGGTTGACAGAGGTGGTCATTTTGGCCGTTGTGAGGTGGGAAGGGGGGAAACTCTGTTGCTTGTATCAGCGGCGGATCTTAGGCAACTATGAAAGTGGTACTCGTAGATCAGCGTAGGAACGGAAAAAGTGAAGTGAAGCATAATCTCTCGGGATCCACCATCAGATTACAAGTAAAGTACTGTACAGTACAGTATCAGCGGAACTCAGCCGGTCAGCCCACGATAAGCTTAGTCTGACAGGGTAACAGGATTGCGAATCGTACTTAACGATATCTAACACGTCTCATAACGGGCCGATCATACAGTACGGGTAGCGTGTCGGGAAAACGCTCGTCCTGCCTTGGAGCTTTTGACTCAGAATCCGGAGATTACAAGGCGGCCGGAGATGGTGGAATTTAAGAGATTCCCTGCGTATCAGAAATTAGGATTTTACATCTGGATGTGTTGTTGACTTTGCTAGAAGGCGTGTGATGCTAGGCCAAGACATCAGTGAATGAATAGATGCATAAAGTTACTGATAAACCTCAAGCTCAGTGCTCGTAGACTGGGGCCCAACTCAAACTCAAACAATGCAAAGTCAAGGCAACCTATTCATTCACACCTGAGGTTGCAAGTATCCCCTGGTTCACTGAGCCACCGGCAAAATCACACTCACGCATTAAGGCTGAAACTAGTAGCTTGGCATTCGAGTGATATCTAATGAATTTATGCCCATATCTACTGCAGGATTCTCCTATACACTGTGGGAATCGAAGGGTCCACATGCCTTAAACTTTTGTGAGAACCATGTACCCTTATTCTATCTGTTGTGGTTCCATGCCGGACTTACCCATGTGCCCTAGTACAGTTTCCCACTGCAAAGCGTGCGCTGTAATCGGGTCCCGTTAACCGGTGTTCGCAATTCTGTTAGCCTGTCAAAAACTAAACGTATCGTGAGCCGACAAATTGATTCCTGTGGATAATCCGATAAGAAATTACTAGAGTTTCCACGCTGCTCGTGCAGCCTGTAGAGTGGGTTAACGTTTGTCAGCTCGACCGCTATTGCGCACCACCAAATCTCGGCCATTCTTCTCAATTCGGGGCAGGGCCCGAGTGCTGATATCCCGGGTTCCTCATTATGGCCACCCATTTCATGATGCCTTATTATATATCCGACAGCAAATGCGAGTTGTATGTAAATTTGTATGAAACGTTCGTAATACGGCGGGTCAAACGTACGTGTAGGGCAGTTGGGGCTTTTCACCACTCAACAATGAGCTATTATACATCCCATGAAAAAGGGTCGCTTAGAGAAATACCCAATAGAGTTATTGTTTACAGTAATCAGCAGGTGGCCCATAAGGGATGCTGTTAATAGTAATTTTACAAGATTCACTCATGGTCTAGTGGTTAAAGGTAGGTTGGCCCCTTATGTTTAATTGCAAGGTCATGAGTTTAAATCCTGCTTCAGGATTTGAATTTCCGGCGCACTAGGAAGTAGGGTTATTTGAGGTATTGGGTGGTTAGGCTGCCTCAATCATCCCAACCAAAAACAAACACAAACAATATGTAACAATCCCTCTTTGGATAGTTAGTTCTTGGTGACGGGGAACAATACTTCTCTGCTTCTTCTTCTCCTCTTCGTCTTACGATAGCGCTAGGCCTCTGCCTCCGTTACTGATAGTCCAAGACCTTTGTCTTTTATCAGGAATGCCTATCATAAGCTTCCTCTAACTCTTCTCTCGTGCCGTGCTTTCTTCGGCATAACAATAATCGTTGCGATCGTAATAAAGATCGTAGAGGTATTTTATATTCGTTAAAGTAATAAGTAGGAAAAGTACTTGGAACAAAGCATGAAAAACCTATCCTCCTCAGCTGCATCGACCTCCTTATATAGTGTTCTTCCCGCCCATAGTCATGTGACCTAAAGTGGTCACATGTGCGAAACCAAATCATAATAAACTAATCATGTGACTAAAGTGGTCACATGCTCAAAACCCATGACCTCATAGCGAGGTCATATGCGAAAACTCATAAACCAATCATAACACAATAAACAAGTCATATGCGTAAGAACCATAACCTCCTAATAAGGTCATGTGCAAAACATAAATTATATGCACAAGGCATACCCGCAAGGCATACTCGCAAGGCACACTCACCAGGCACAGGTCTTACAACTTATAATTGAGTTATGTACGAAACATAACAAATTATAACATAATAAGTCATATGACCCAAATGAGTTATATTTGTGGAACAATAACATACCTTTGACTCATAATCCTGAGTCATGTAGAAACCTTTTTCTTGCCAAGCCACATTCATGATATTAGCCCCTCCCCCCCTAAGCCTGAGTCTCATCAGGCTTTATCCCCAAGTTTCAATAGTTCCTGTCCTGCTGCACGCAGTAACCTCCGAAGTTTATGGACCTTGTCGTACACTTCCCACCATTATACCCTCACGGATTCCAGGGTGAGGATTGCCATTTCGATCGTTCTCTGCTGGGCATTGTTCAGTTGTCTCAGCTCCATGATTGTTTTGTCGTTTGCCCAAATTGTGACTTCGGCCTGATTAAGTTGTTCCCGGAGTCCACGGATTTGCCTATGTAGGCTCCTGACATCTGGTTCTGTATCCGCAGAGGAGTTTTGGGCCCCTCCCTCCCTGGGCCGTATGCTCACGGCCCAAGTCTGTTTTGTGTTGTTTGCCTCTAACTCTTTCTTGCTTCCGTCCTTCTGTGGGTAATATCCCACACAAATCTTACTTGCCCTGTGCATTCTGCACCCATATATGAAGCACTGTTGCTAGGGTTTCAGAATGTGCTCCAGGCATGGACCACATTTCCAGCATTCTCTTGGAAATCATCCCAAGCCTTCCTTGTCGCCAAAGTGTATTTAGCATCTATCATCGTAGCATACTGTCCATGACATGGTATTATGCTTTACTTGTTGTTCCCTTTCCTTGAGTTCTTCGTTGTCAGTCGGACCCATGAATGAGTATTCAGGGCTAGTGGGTGTGATATGGCGGGGGCTATTGTCCTAGCTCTCGTGTGCTTGCAAAGGCGTGGGATTGCTTCCCTTGCCTTTGTCTTGGTTGAACGTGATCGTTATCTGGGCCAGGCTTGCCTGGGTATTGTTGGTGGAAGGTTGAGAGGGCATCTTGTACATTTTCGAAGTTGTATGCGTGGTACCAAGTTTTATCGTGTTTGGGCGCATATCCTGTCCACTTGGCACAGTATTGAAAATGACTGTTAGAGAACAGAGAATGGACTATTTCGTCGAGTTCGTATTCTGGTTCTCCATTGAGTTCGATTAGAGGAGGAGGAATAATTGTTTGTGAGGGGAACTTGTTATTGTTGTGTAATTCGAGGAGTAAGATGTAGAATGTATTGTGTATTCACATTGAGGGGGGAAGGTCGAGCTTATAAGCTGAGTTGCCCACTCTTTCCAATATCCACAATTGTCCAATTTTCTTGTAATCCAGTTTCTTTGATAGTCTCGTCGTATGGATGTTGCGTGGTAGTAATCACACCATATCTCCTGGTTGTAAGTTTGGATCGGGCCTTCAGTGTTTGTCTATTATTCCTTCTGTCGTTGTTGTGCTTGACTCATTTCGTATCGTAACGTCTCATGTAGTTTTCCCATGTCCACTTTCTCTGGTATTATACTGTTAATCCTATGATTTGTGGTCTGACTTTGTGGATGTTGGCCATAATTCGCGAAGAAGGTTGTTGTGCTGATTGTTTCTTGTTTTCCATTGTTGTATGCAAATTCATCTATTGATAACAGTTTATACCAATCATCTTGTTGGTAGTTGACATAGGCCTGTAGATATTGTTCCAGTATTGTATTTACCTGCTCTGTTTGTCTATCGGTTTGCGGGTGAAAGGCAGTGCTTAGCTGGTTTTGTATTTCCATCTCTCCAGTTACTTTTTTCCATAATCCCGATGTGAATAACATTTGTTGATCCGTAATGATATTCTTCGGGAGACCGTATAGCCAGAATACCTCTCGGAAGAATGTTTGTATAAAATCTCTCATTTCCATATCCTTTCTAACTGGAGTGAAATGACTCATTTTAGTCAGGTGATCCACCACGACCAGGATACTATCGCATTTTTCTGACGGAGATAAGTCCGTAATGAAATCCATAGTAATTGTTTCCCAAGGTTGTTTGGGAACCTCGTTTGATTTCTGTAATCCATAGGGTACTTGTTTAGCCGTTTTCGTCCTTTGGAATATGTCATAATTTTTGACATATCTCTTGACATCTTCGCGTAATCTTGGCCAATAGGATGACCTCGTGATGAATTCTGTAGTTTTAGCCATTCCCCCATGTCCCGCCATTGGAATATTGTTGTGTTGTTGTATGATGCTCGTCCTTATCTTTTCTTTTTCTGGGATCTATTGTTTTCCATTGTACCACATGTCTTCCTCTTGCCATTGGCATAACCCTGGGGCAATCCCTTTTATTTTCTTTTTTCCTTCCTCCAATGCTTTCTTTACTGCTTGAATTGTTTTGTCTTTCTTGTTTCCCTTTCTGATCCCTTTTTCCTCTTCTGAGGTATATTGAATGACCTCCATCGCTTCGAAGTAAGCTTTTGGCAATAGTGTCCTTGACTTTTGTTTGATTGTTTCGTCCTCTTTGGTTTGTGGTTTGTCGCTTGCAATTCTCGTGAGAGCATCAGGTTTTCCGCTTTCTTTTCCAGGTCGGTATTCGATCTTGAAGTCGTATTTGCTGAGTTGTTCCATCCATCTTATCTGATAATCGTTCAACTCCTTCGTGGTCATGAATGGGACTAGATCCTTGTGATCAATCAGAACATGGATCGGATGATCATTGTTCGGGACGTATCTCCTCCACTCCATTAATGCTTGAACTATCGCTAATAGTTCCTTGTTTGCAACATCATAGTTGCATTTCGCAAGAGTCATTGTCTTAGACCGATAGGATACTGACCTCCATTTTCCATCTTCGCATTGTTGCAATAGTGTGCCTGAGCATACATATTTGGAGGCGTCCATTTCAATCATTGTCCTTTGATTTGGGTCGAAACTAGCCAGTATTGGCACCGATGTTAGATGCTTTCATATTGCATCAAATGCTTTCTGTTCCATTTCTCCCAATTCTGATT